TCATCTCTCTGCCAACATACACACACACCCACACACACCCACACACTGATTCAGTGATTACACTCTCTCTCTCAGTCCCTCTTTGTTCCACAGTACATCAGTCATATATTCACATTTATACATTCTCTCTTTACAGTTCATAACATTAATCTATATTAAAAAATGTTCAGAAAAAACCTGACGTATCCAAAAACACATTGATGTGTACTTTGAATGATCGGATGGCAGGTAAAACTCGGACCGACTGGTTTCTTTTGAGGACTACAGGATCCATTTATTGTTTTTTCCTGAATTACATGGGCACGGGAGCTTTTAAGCACGTTAAGACAGCATTAACCAACATTAATTAACAGGAAGCCTGTTGCCTGTTAGTGCTGTGTGAACAGAAAAGCTGATATTTAAGATCTTTAAGTTCCAAACTCTGAGGTTGGAGTATCAGCTTACAGAGGGTCACTACCCTCCGAAGCCCTGGTGTCCGGGCTGGGGTTTGGTCATTCTCACCTGTAGACTTAACTACACTTAAACTTAGTTTAACTGAAAGGCTGAGTTTAAGTCACAGGGTCTCTAGAAACTGAAGGCTGCATCCTTTTGGGAGCATGAATGTGCAGAGCCAGACATCCCTTACATTCCATCAGGTAGTTGACATGGTAAATATAGTTCAGAAGTCCCACATTTTCAAATATAAAATGTCAAATGTTGAGCACAAGTTGCTCTAGTACTTTAATAGCTCAATAATTTGCTTTAGGATTGTTATTCATAGTAAAAATATCAAAGTATGCTCTGGAAAGAGAGGTCATATCTTATCATTTTAACATTTGATAGCTCAATTGATATATATCTGCACTTGGATACAGGGGAGAAATCTAATTTGCTTTATTTCTTAGCATTCTTTGATGCTATATTGCTAAAAGGGAAAAATGAAAGCATGAATTCCTACAGATTTATTCATGTGCGTAAGGATGAAAGCGGAGCAGAGAGCAGCTTCAGTCCGTTGCGCCATTTCCGGTTATTTTCTCAAATCGGAAGGAGGAAAGCATCGTGGTGCATTAAGTACGACCACACACACTCGCACACACACACTCACTCACAGGCTAATATAGTACTGATTGCTAAGTGCTACAATGCTGTGTGTCTGAGTGCTGTGATATTATGCATCGAGTGTGTTTGTCAAACTGCCACACAACGTTTGTGTGAACTACATTGCAGCGTGGAGCATGTCAACCAAAGGGAATGTTCACAGAAAAGCAGCAAAGAAAACCGATTGCACTCCAATACTTTATATTTTGCACTGGACACATTAAGAAAGTATATTGGCTTGCCATAGTTTATTTTGTCACGCTAGCAATACCAGTCACTATCAAATAGTTAAAGTAACATGTATAATTTTGTTAGCTGATTAAAGTCTTCTGACTGTCTCATTCCACTAATAAAGCCAAAAATATGAAAGTAACTGTCTTCTAAAAGGGATGATCTATTTTCTACATACGTCCAAAAAGAATGTTATTGGATAGATCTCTAACTAGAGCAAATGAGAAATGAGATTTGTAATGATTTTAGTGTTAGCTGAGAGTGAGTTCTGTCATGTTAAGAATAGGTCATATTCAGGAAGCAATGATGGTTTCTTTGGACGTTAAGATAGGCTGAGATCTTTGGACGGGGATTGGGAGATGCTGGCAGTAGTAAGCAGTATTTTTCTGTTGGGTAGTGTTCATGTAGCATAAAGGGGATATGACACATGAACGGTAAAAATCTGTAACCCCAAAGGACGTAACTGTAACCCTGACCACTGACCACGTGTTTTTTTTTTTTTTTACTCCACACCACAACCATTTGCAAGTGAGAACAAAAAAGTCGAAACGGAAAAAAAAGAAATATGCTGTATAGTAATGTGAGAGCCGGCAACCTAGCACGGTGACATATGAACGGCTTTCATCATCAGTACCAGGATCCATAAATAAGTCCTAACTGTTATGATCATTCTCCTCCAAACAAATAAGTTAAGCTCCTACCCCAATATATCAGCCAAAGAAGAAAAGTCCACTTTAAGTTGGTAAGGGGGTCTCATACTGGGATCTCTATTATAGAAGACTTGTTAAATTATCTCAGCAGTGTCAAGTATCTATAGGATCTACAGAATGATGTGGACTGCTGATGTCAATGTATAGTGAGAAGCAAGTGGTTCTCTGTTTGGATATGCATGAGAAAAACACTATGGACTAAGCTACTATGTGTACTGTTGTGAGACTGTGTTGAAATATAGGCCTAATAATAAAGAACATGTCTAAATTCTACCAAATTATTCAATAAATCGTCTATACATGAAAGGGCAAGCAAAGGAGAAGCATTTTATATTACATACGGACTTAAATCTGTTAAGTACTTACATAGATATATACAAATATTTAAGATGGATTCTGAGAAAACGGCGTACAATACATGAAATATAGATTATTACAGCCAGAGGCAAAAGACAGAATTAAATGACAGCTAACAAGGATGATTATTGGGGTGGGAGATGGTGGCATCATCCACATTTAAAGAGTCAGAGCTGATTAACGACAGAATCCAAACGTTGCACAGCCGGGCTGCCTGGAACGGAGAGCCACAGCCTCCAAACGTGGCGCCACACACAAGCAGCGAAGTGTATGTTGAAGGGCGACTTTATTACTTACCCTGCACTTATATGCCCTTTGTGTAATGGATACCAAGGCTTAAGTGGTTATGGTGCAATAAAAAAAGAAAGAAAGAAGAGCAGAGACACTGGGAATCTAGACGAAGGGAGACAGAAAGGTAGGAGGAGGGAAAAGACGAGGGAGAGAGAGAGAGAGAGAGAGAGAGAGGGAAGGAGAAAGTAACGAGATGGGGGAGAGGGAGGGAAGGAAGCACCGAGGAAAGGACAGAGAACAGGGAAGGGAGTCAGGAGTTAATGGAGACAAAAGAGAGGATAACAGAAAAACCGAGACACGAGAAGAACCGTTAGACAGAAGAAGTGAAGGGAAACAGAAAAATAAGATAATGAAGGAACCATCACTCACACCTGAAAGAAAGGAAGATTCAAAACAGTCCTGGAAAAGCTGAGAAATACAGCAAATCCAGTCCGATGCAGAGGGAGAAACAGCTCAGAAGCTGTTGCTGTTTCCTGTCAGGATGAAGCCATCCTGCCTCTGTGGAGTCCTCACACATGTGGCTCTACATTCAGCCGCATTGATCCCCAAACTCTCTTTCTGTCTCTTTTTCACATATCGACTTTCCTTATTTCGCAGCTTGGGCTACTTCGTCTCAATTCCCTCTTCCACCACCATTTAAATCTTCACAACACCTCCTCAAATAATGATGGAGAAAGTCTAGCCTCGTAGTGCGGGATTATTTTCTGGCTTTTGTCAGGTTTCTGAAATGTAACTCAGAATTTACCACAATATTCATCAAGCCACATACAGTCAATATTCAAATTTCCATGTATTTTGTCATACTTCAGGGACCCTGATTGATTTGAACCATGGTCCCACATCTTTACTACTAGCAGCACTTAGCTTGCATGCTTCCAATCTATTGTTCTGCTCTAATATGATTTAGATTTCATATCTGCTGCCTTATACTGCAACAATATTACTTAAAGGTAAAAATCGCTGCAGTGAATTCACTTGGACATGCACAATGATCTCTAATATCCATTTCTATAAGATATCTTGAAGATTTTCGCACAGATTTGAAGTACCATGGCCTCCCACATTCTTAATTTGATCTTTCTGGAGAAGTTCTACTTGGATAATCAGGGTGGACCGGTTAGCTGGCCACTGTAGCTTTGCTTTGTGTCATGAAGGTATTTAACAATCACAAATCAACAATCCTTCTAACGGGACTCGTACAATTCAAAAACCACCTTCTATACGTATATTTATGTATCTGGGAGTGTGTGTTTGTTTGTGTGTGGAGGCCTTCCTGGGACTTAGGAGAGGGAAACATAAGTCAGTGTGAAAACTTTTGAATTAAATGGGAGTTTTAGACCATAAATGTTAAGACTTTGTGTGTTTCTTTTTGCTGTCTGCTAGTTTAAGCAGGTTTTTATTACGTATTCAAGCCAACAAATCTCGTGCTGTCAAACCGATTGACTTAAATTTGTCCGTATTTTGCGGGTAGCTCGTCAATTTCTGTGAGTACACAGTGCACTGTGGGAGTTGGTGTCCATCAGAAACAGGACTCGTGCATGGCACTTAGAGACGGAGGCGGCCCCGGAGAAGCTGGCAGGCTGTAATCCATCTTTGTGGTGAAGACGAAAACAGTCTGTAATGACTGTGTTGAGCTCCTCTCTCTGTAAGATGAAACCAAAGCGAGCTGCCTAACGCACTTCCTCCCTTTCAACTTTTACTCCCAATATTAAGTTCCTACATCACAGCTTATACATTAAACGCAGCACAGAATGCTTTAGATAAAAATGAACTTTATTGTTAATCATTTTTGGATCACTAATATATTTACCAGTACTGTTCCTGTTTTTTATTTTTTATTCTTTATTAAAAATATAGAGAGAAAGTGTACTGTACCTTGGTTTCTTTCTTAAAAATAGTCTAGAAAAAGCAGTCAAATTTTTCTAAGTGGTCGTTGTCTGGTCAAAATGAAATATTGACTAGTTATGGGATACTCTTTTACCTTTTGAGAATTATTTATTACAACCAGAGAACCCCAAGCTGATCGACAGAAAAGGAATCCATTTTTTTCTCCTTTTGCTCTGCATTTTCCTTGCTCTTCTCTCAATTTCAGACCCCTCTCCCGTCGGCCCTCTTTATTCTCAGTGTCTCTGTGCACCTCCTCCTCATATGTTTTCTTCCATTCTCTGCTCTCCTCTCCATCCTTTCCGCTCAGTTTCCATCTCCCCACCGTGACCTCTTTTCTCTGGCTGTGGTTACTTTGA